GCTTGCCCCGAGCAGTTTTGTTTTTGAGCGGAATTTTGCCCCCCCCAGAATACGCGGGGCAGCCTGAGCACCCACGCTCAGGATTGGAATAACATGGTCGTGGATGCTCAGCGAGGGATTCTCCAGGGGTACTGGTACCCTCCTGGGGTAGTCTATTGTCTAATTCCGCTACCATGTTGATGGGGGGGGGGGGGGGGGGAATTGGGCCTCCGGCCACCTGCACTCACCAGACGAAACGCAGAAGCAGAGCCTCTACTTCACGCCGGTATTCTGTGAGGTCGTGGTACCAACCCGGCTCGAGCCGGCCCATACGTGCAACAGCAAAAAACTGCTGCAGGGCTCTACCACCGTTAAGTTAAGTATAATAATTTATGACCTATATTATATAATAAGTATAGAAATATATATGTATAAATAGATATATTAAGCCAACTATAGGTATATTCGTAGTTACGAAATCGAATTGCACTCAGTAAAGTTTTAACGAAAGTTCAAACTATACTTAACTAATAACAGTTAATGGTTGACTGAAGGACTGGGACCGCCATTGTATCTGAGTGACTGTCGATTAATTGGTCGTTACACCGGCTGGATTTTACGTCTGTTCTAAACTTTCTAAGCAATTACATTTTACGAAATAATTGTCTTTAAAAGTTATGTCCTGTCCTGTTTGTGTTCAACTAAAATCGAACTTCGGTTTTGTTACTTTTGGATCGTAATTTATTTATTATAGAAATAGAAACTTTTATGTTCAATACAAAGTATAAATAATACACTGATTCAGAAAATACCTCTGTCCGTAAAAACCAGCAAAAAAACCCCAGCGGGAGATTTGTTACAAATTTATTAATCTATGAATCTAACTGAATGTTGAATCAAAAGAATTTTTAATTATGTTATTCATAATAAAAATATGATTATTACAGTAGGCTGTATAACAATACAGAATTTTTCTTGTAGGTCTTTACTTCTATTTATGATTGACCAAAGACACTGACTGTACAGAATATTAATCTATGTTTTAATATTTAAGAAAAAGTCTATAACTAAAACATTCGTTTAAGTATTTTTTTTCTTATTGTGGTGAATTATAAAAATAAAAATGATCAGCCAAATCAAATTCCATGTTAAATTTAATCTAATCAAAAGTAAGCACTTCTCAAATCTGTTATTACCCCTATACTAACAAGGCTTGTATAATATTATCATTACATCTAAAACTTGAAAGGAGGATAACTCAGAATTAAGCTATCCAGAATGTTCGGAGCGGATTCTCTCGTAACAATTAAAAGGGGATTCGAACAACTGAAAGGGCTGATCTCAAATTCAGCGTCCTAAGCTCACAATAATTGCAGATCTTTGTCTCAATATTTGTACATCGAAAGCTAAATAGAAAAGATGGAAATTGACAACAGCAGCACAAAATAATTTATATTTATTTACTTGTCGTTTTAAAAAAGCGGATTGTTGATTGAAGTGCCAGTTGTCTCGCACCGTTGACATTGCTTCTGCTGAACCAACTCCCCTCATTCAGCCCATAGATTTCCTCATAGGGGGCTTATTTTCTATAGTTGCCGCGCTTGGTAGGAACGTTAGCAGCCACCGTCTTTATTATTTCAACTGTTAACAGTCAAAAATTTTAAATGTCTATCAGCCACAGCATCAACTTACCATTAGGTGAACTGTGTGCTCGTTTGTCATCCTTATTCTATAAATTCGTTCTTTGTGTATTATTGGTAATTATTGGGTGCTTTCTATTTGTATGTTTACTGTATAAAGTAACAATATCTGTAACATTGATTCTGTACCAACTGGGAGCAAGAAATATAAAAAAATATATTATTCATTTTAACTTCCAAATCTCAGTAAGTTTTCTTCAAAATACATTACAGTCATTATATCTTAAGCCTACAAATTAACCACGAGTCCGATTTTAACGATACCGATTAGTATCTGTCAACGAAAAGTCACCCGGAGCAATTAACCCGGATTGCACAAAGTGAACGCTTAAGAACTCGAGATTCGAGCTCTAAGCTTAAGATAATTGCTGCAGATTGTCCCCCGGCTCTGTAATCCATTGCCAAAGTTTAGAGAATTGACTACTGTTCCTCTTCGCAGGAGCGATAAGAGCCACTAGTGTTGTATGGAGTTATTTAAGTAGCTTATACCCGTTTCTAGTTTTGTTATTTACTGTCAGTAGTATATATTACACTCTTTATTTTCTTTATCTTTATAAAGAAGGACAGAATTTCTATGCCTGTGTTTTAACAGGCTGTAATGTTTAAACAGGGTTTACATTTTCTTGAATGTACCACAATCAAGTAATACACGAATGTTTTAAAGGTTTTTAAAAATAATATATATCGGAAATGACAACAGGAGATCCCACTTCTGATGTCTGAGAATTAGAACAGAGGATTCCAATTTGTGGTCTTGGAAATACATCAGGATAGCGTTAACCGTTAAAAATAATAAAAGTGTGAGAGCAGATGTTCAATTTGCTCTCGTGCTTACGCAATTAATCATTATCAGTAATAAGACAACGTAACGCACTATACATTCAGCATAGTGAAATTACAGTTCGACCACACCGGAACACGTCTCCGCCACAATCTCACACCAGTGTAATGTGAGGTACGTAATTACATAATAACACCAAAATATGCAAATCAACAGCAACACTACTTATCTCAATGTAACACAGGGCAGCCTCTCAGCAACACCAATTCTCCTTGCCTACACTAGAAGAATTACAACAACGAACAGAACCACGACAGTATCTTAGCACTAGTAGAACGACGACACTCGTTGAATGACTTAAGCGGAATCTCCCGCGCACGGCACTTACAGTGAACTTTATACTACAGACACAAGAGGGAGTTTCTCGATATACCCTCCCTTCTACCTCGATCCAACCGGGTATTTTATAGACGCTCCGACATATATTCTTCTTTATCTTTTCCTCGTGAAGATCTAGTATTGGACATGATATGCTTCTCGATTTGCCTTATTTTCACCTTGGACAAATTTTTCACCTTTAGTTTTATACGTGGTAAGCCCCACAAATGACCGGCTATGAGTAGGGTATTATTGGGGTTTCTGCATCACTCGTCCGCTCATAATGCAGTTCGCCGCAATATTACACTAAACAGCTCTACATTCCCAGACACGATGCGCGACGGTGTGGGATTCAATAATCTGATTCTCGCTGTGATAGCTGGTTACTCTAAAACACGTATGGACGCGGCGCTCAGATTCTTGTATTTGATCTCGATCGATATTACTGATGATAGCAATTGTCATGCATGTTTGATTGATGAGTTTTTAGTAGACCAATACTTTAATAGGTAGACTAATATAACGATGTTGAATTTTTTTATATGATTCAGGGAGACTTTACCATGGTAGATCAATTGAGACTCCAGCCCTAGGGCTCGCTTGCGCAGATATACAAACATACCTAGCAAATAACATATTTTTTTTCCCATATGAAAACAGCATTGTGTTCAGTCTTCATGATTTTTGAATTTATTATGAATGAATAAGAACCTTTCCGAGAGGTTTTTTAAAGCAAGTATTTATGCATGCTATTAATTAAGATATTAATTAATAATTTAAATAACATAATTATTTAAACTTACCTTATCTATATAGGGTAACTATTATAGTATTTAGTGTGCTAGCATTTAGGTATTACATATTATTAATTATAGGACGATATGGAGATTTCTTTTATATTGGTCAATTGGTTGTCTAGAAGCGATCGCTACTTGCAGTCGTTTTTAATATCCTATCTATTCTTGGACTTGCGTACTAGAGATGGATATTTGACACATTTTATATATATCTGAGCTTAACTTATGTCAAATATTTTATTTCTTGCAGCCAAATCCAGCGATAGAAAGGTTTTTTTTGATAGGCACAATTATACAATACTTTCGTTTGCAACAAAAGTGGTTCACAATAAAGGAATTTTGCAATGTAGGTAGGTATGTCCTTAATATAAGTATGTTATTACATACCAACTAGACTGAAAGGCGTAAAATATTTATGTAACTTATTTAAACATTAAATGCATATAAAAAATATTTTACCTAAATCAAGCATCGATGAGCATAGAAAAGTTTTCATTTCAAACTTTCAGAAAAGTCAAAAAATGGATTTTAAGTTAACCTGTAGGAGCCTGTAGCTCAAATGTATTTGGTTACTAAGTTCAAACCACTAATTCCATCATAAATTGAGCCGTCATGTTTTTATTTCTTTCAAAATTAAACTTTTTGATGAATAATGTTTATCTGGTTATCTAATCACAATAAAAGTAATACTTGTAGTAGCTAAAAAAATGTAAAAACACCTTAAAAGAAAATCAGAAGTTAGACAGCTCAAAGTTAATCGATTTTTATAACACAAAACCAGAACACCAATATAATAAGAACCCTCTTATGAATGCAGCTTCCTTAAACAAATTTTGATCTCAAATAACTGCGACAGAGTGGCGTCTCCAGTGTAAGCTGTATCATATTGTTAGGTTAAGGTGTTAGGTTAAAATATTGTTAGGTTTTACACATTGATAAATTTTTTGGTTAATGGATTTTAGACTTTATACAGAGCATTCATAGGAATGGTATAAACTGTGACTTAACAAAAATAATAATTAGTTTTTGGCTAAAGTATTATTATGTAATAGGCGTTAGAAATATGCATATATAAGGAGAGCTAGAATGCGCTGCAAGTCATTCCTAATTTTCTTTTTTAATCGAAGTGACGCGAACGTGTTCATCAAACCTGTAAGTATGTATGTGTCTTTTTATTATTTTTATTCTTTTTTATTGAGTTCATACTATGTAATCTAATATATAAAATTCTCGTGTCACAGTGTTAGTGATCAAACGGCTGGACCGTTTTATAAAACTTTGGGTCAGCTAGTTATGTATATAAATATGTAATAAAATAATATGTGTACAAGTGATATATGACCTGTTATATTAACTATAGAATCACTGATTTTCAGGACGTTGACTAGCAAAATTTTCAACCCATTTGACTCGGATGATGGTAGTACTCTCATTACGAAATCCAAACAAAAGAAAACGTTGAAAAAGTCTTGTGAAGATAGTAATATTAAGAAGAGAAAAGTCGTTCTGGATTCAGATAGCGAATCGGAAGCTGAGTCTATAAAAAAGAAAAGACTTAAGAGGTCTTCGTTTGCATTTGATTTAGAGGTAAGTTTAATTTAAATTTATTAATCCAATTGTCGTCTTGGTCATTGACCCAAATTGCCAAGCTGAGGGCCGTGGGTTCGAGTCCCGGTCGACGCAGATATTTATTTCACAGATAAATATTTGTACTCAGGTCATGGATCTTTGCCGTTTATATTTTATTCTTGTAATTATTTAACCAATTATAGTTTATTCATATTAGTAATTAGTGCTTTTGAAAAAAACTTTGTTTTGAGTATTATCATCGAGATCACCATCACCAATATTTTATTTTTTACCGATATTAAACAGCACTATAATATTTTTTTAGTTATAAATATTATGAGCCTTTTTTTTCTATACAATACTAACATTAATATTTGAAATAATTACAGGGAGATAACGAGTTGCAAGAACCCATTAGAGCGGCGGCGCTGAGAAGTTTTTTATCGCGGCGTGCTGGTTCGGGCTACACGCTGCAGAGGGCAGATTCTGCAAAGACGGGCGACTACTATGTAGAGCTGCGTGTGTACAACACGAAAGAAGCCGAAAAGCTTGGCTCCGATCGGTGGAAGCGCTCGCTCGTCACTCTGAAATCTGCTGTAGAAGACAACAGCCTTACGTGGAAAGCTGTGACAAAGTTAGTAGCAGCGGCAAAGGATGAGTACGCTGCTATGCAGCCAATTTTATACCCTGTTAATGTTTTCTAACTTTGTATATGTGCCTAACACCTATAATAAAGTAATTACGCTCATAATAGCTTAATATTAAATGTTATTGACTTGTAGCACATTATTTTCCTAACTTATGTCTTTTCCTTACAGCAAAGATAAAATAAGAATTAAAATCTGAATCTAAAAAACAAAGAGCCAGATATTGAAAGTTTAATTTTAAAATACCTGAATGACGTAATTATTTTCAAAAATTGCATTTATATTTCCTTGCAGCAACGAAAAACTAAGAACTAAAAATTTTAATCTAAAACAAAAAGCCAGATAATGAAATTTAGATTTTTTGAAATACCTCGATAAAGTAATTATAATTTAAATTCGTGAATCATTAATTATATTACTTTGCGATATACCATATTATTTTCGAAACTGTGTATCTCCTTACAGCAACGAAAAATTAAAAACTAAAATCTGAATCTAAAAGAACAAAAAGCTGGATTGAAACTTAAATTTTGAAATACCTAAAATCTAGACAAAGTAATTATAAGTTAGAGTTGTTAATTAGAATTTAAATCTATAAGACAAATATAAATAAAGATTGAAATACATATTTATATACAAGTTTTGAGCAGTATTACACCAAACGTCAATAATAGATACTCGTATATGATTGAAAATGAAATTCTGCCAGGACTGTAATGCATATACATCAAATCATTCATCACATAAGAAGAGTAATATACATAAAATTAATTATTTACTTAAAACTGAGTTTGATAATGTTCAGTTAATAGCTAATGTGTGAGTGAGAAATGTGACATTGTTTTGAATTCACAATATTACCCATACGAGCCATTATGTTTAAAATTTTCCGAAAACAAATTTAATATATTATACGTACTACAACTGTCCGCAGACTTATTGCCTGACTTAAGTAGCTTTAAGGAGAAGGCTCCGCTACTTGTGATAGATTGTTCAAGACAAAACGACAGTCTAAAAACGGGACCCGTAGATGTTCGTTTAGAGATTGAATGTACAACGGCAATACCAGAGAAGACAACTGGATATTGTTTAATCATTAACGATCAACTTGTGGAATAAAAGCCTTTAAGTAACATAGTGAGCAAGTTGACATGACTGCTATCGTAGATGTCCAAGATTTCAAAACAGAAAGAAATGAATTCATAGTGAAAGAAATTGCAATATTGTGTTACAATAAAATACAACGTCTTTTAATTAAACCACCATTACCTTTTTACAAATTGACTGTAAAAGAAAAGAAACATTTAAATTGGATTCAATGTAATAGAAAGATATATTGGTGTGAGGGAGTAACACCTTATTTAAATTATCAGAATTTGATTGCAGATAATATAAAGGATAAATGTATATACGTCAAAGGTTTAGAAAAAGTTTTATTGTTAAAATCCATCTTACAAAATGATAATATAATTAATTTAGAAGATAAATGCTGTCCTAGTTTGTTAAATCTGTATGATCGATATAAAGACTGTAAAGATTTGTATAGTTGTATTAATCACGACTCAGTATGTGCTTTGAAAAATGTTTTTTGTTTAAATAAATGGTGCTCTGATAATAACATTTGAAATATTCTTTATTTTATTTCATAAAAAAACTCTCCACCAGCAACTTTTTTTAAATGTTTATAAGGAATCAGCGCAGCTTTGCAGCTTCATTATACTCCTGCAACCAGCAAGATAAAACCTCCACAAAGCATGAGGGACTACTATATTTTATTCTCTTTTTTTTTAAAACGTTACCCCCACACTAGGATTTTCTCCTGTGTTGTGGAGGCAGTTTACAAACATAATTTGCACAAGGACAAACATCCAGACCCGGAACAATTATTTGTAGGCCATACAAATACTCGTTCCGTGCGGGATTCGAACCCGCGGCCCCCAGCGCAACAACTGATTGCTAAGCCACTGCGCCACGGAGCCTGTGAATACCTGGTAAGACATGAAGGAAATCGGTGGATGCTCAGGACACATACCTTGGGGTCGACCTATGTTCAGCAGTATACTTGTGAAAGGCTGTAATAATGAATGATGATGAACATTACGAAAACTATTTCATTTTTATTTTTGAACACCACGAAACTTTTTGTAGTTATTTATAGTATTTGTATTTTTTTTTATATAAAACTAGCAACTCGCCCCGGCTTTAATTCGCTTTCACTGTAATGGATCTATCTATCTGGCGTTATTTATTTTTAAGATAATCAAAGACTATTTATTTTATCAATATCTTTAAAAAAAATTTTTGGATAAAATATAAGGTAGTTAAATTTCATCAGAATCAGTTCAGCTATTTTTAAACATGGTTTTTTTTTTGTCTATATGGCATGCATATAATCCCCTGAGCATAAAAGAAGCCAGTTTATAGATATAACATTCAATTTTATTCGTATCTATGTTTATATAAGAGTGACAAACAATCACTTAGTCCACCTGATGGTGTGGCCCATAGACAGAAACAGAAACGCAAACTTTTGGAAAGAAGTTCCTTATCGGACGGTACGGGTTTGGCGGATGGGAGCTAGGCGACAAAAAGTGTAATGGTCCCCACTCACGGTCAGTTAAACTGAACAGTTTAACTGACGTACATCCAAAAACTGACCGTTAATGTGAAATCTTAAGTTGAAATTTTTAACTGAAGGCAACACACGGATTTTATTCGGGCGTGCTGTCAGTTAAACTGCTCCGTTGAACTGACGTACATCCAAAAACTGATCGTGAATGTGAAATCTTAAGTTACAATTTTTAACTGACGGCAACCCACGTATTTTTCCGGGCGCACCGTAATCCGCTGGCTTCAGTTCGTTTCCATTATTGGTAAGTACATACTTTTCTAAGTAGCTTTTATATATATTTTATAATTTTTTATAACATGTTTTAAGATTTTATATTATTTTATATATTTTTTTTATTAAAAAAAACGTTACCCCCACACTAGGATTTTCTCCTGTATCGCGGAGGCAGTTTACAAACACAAATTGCACAAGGACAAACATCCAGACCCGGAACAATCATTTGTAGGCCATACAAGTACTTGTTCCGTGCGGGATTCGAACCCGTGCCGCAATTCATTGCTAAGCCACTGCGCCAGGGAGCCGTCATATATATTTAGAGAAGTTGGTTTGACAGAGGATGGAGACCAAGGTGATGGTAATGATGTCACCTTCCTTATGGTGGACTCAGAAGGTGGGTAAAGGTTCTCAGTGATGCTACTACGTAGAACCATCGTGTTTGGACTCATTTTCAAATAGGTAAATGGAGACCTAGATGACTGGGATGGTATCACCTTTATGTTGGTGCAATCCGAAGGTGGGTATAGGATCTCAGTGACGACACTAGATAGAAAGACCGCGTTTGAACACATTTAAATGGGCTCATAAAGACCTAGGTGACTGTTATGACCTCACCTTTTTGATGGTGCAATCCGAAGGTGGATATAGGATCTCAGTGGCGGCACTAGATAGAACGGTCGTATTTAAACTCATTTGAAAGGGTTCATAAAGACCTAGGTGACTGTTATGACCTCATCATTCTGATGGTGTAATCCGAAGGTGGATATAGGATCTCAGTGGCGGCACTAGATAGAACGATCGTGTTTGAGCTCATTTGAAAGGGCTCATAAAGACCTAGGTGACTGCTGTGACGTCACCTTTCTGATGGTGCAATCCGAAGGTGGATATAGGATATCAGTGGTGGCAGTAGATAGAAAGATCGTGTTTGAACTCATTTGAAAGGGCTCATAAAGACTTAGGTGACTGTTATGATCTCACCTTTCTGATGGTGCAATCCGAAGGTGGATATAGGATCTCAGTGGCTGCACTAGATAGAACGGTCGTGTTTGAACTCACTTGAAAGGGCTCATAAAGACTTAGGTGACTGTTATGATCTCACCTCTCTGATGGTGCAATCCGAAGGTGGATATAGGATCTCAGTGGTGGCACTAGATAGAAAGATCGTGTTTGAACTCATTTGAAAGGGCTCATAAAGACTTAGGTGACTGTTATGATCTCACCTTTCTGATGGTGCAATCCGAAGGTGGATATAGGATCTCAGTGGCTGCACTAGATAGAACGGTCGTGTTTGAACTCACTTGAAAGGGCTCATAAAGACTTAGGTGACTGTTATGATCTCACCTTTCTGATGGTGCAATCCGAAGGTGGATATAGGATCTCAGTGGCAGAAAACTAGGCCATCCTAACTATTTCCATTACTAAAAACCGATAAGCATTATCTGGTCATCATAAGACCTTCAGAATGTGCCCATGCCCACGGATTTTTTTGGGTTCACCATAACAGGAGTGCAAGTTAGTATCAGTGGGGTGTCGCCCGCTCTACAGATAGGTAATTTAATAAACAGATAAAAATAAATAACACATTTATTAAATAAATAAAATTTACCATAATGAGTAAAATTATCATAATATCTGACCCATTTCTTAAAAGTGTCTTAATACTGACCTTATCATGAATAAAAATATCTTTTGAAGTGTTAATATATAGGAAACGTTATTTATATACCTATATACGGAACGGATTTCATTTCTTGATCGATGAAGTCGCAGCCGTGCGCGTTTAGTTGGCGTGACTCCTATAAATTAAAAATATAATTTCCTATCTATTAACTAGCTGTTCCCCGCGACTTTGCCCGCGTGTAATTTATTACGATTGGATTTCATGGGTTTTAATTTTTTTGCATCGAACCCTAATTCTTTTTCTAAATTAAAATTAGCCTAAGTTCCTCCATATAATATCAGTTATCTGCCACTGAAAGTCTGGTCAAAATCGGTTCAGCCGATTCGGAGATTAGCCGGAACAAACAGACAGACAGACAGAAAGAAAGATAGACAAAGATTTTAAAAATTGTGTTTTTGTTATAAGTACCGTATGTACTTTCATATGCATTTAGTAAAAAACTATTATTTTGACATTATATATAGACACTTCAATTTTATTTATTTGTATAGATATATATTAATAGTCAGGAAATGCTGTTAAATAAGT